ACACTTGTAAGATAACCTAAAGAGTTAAAAGAGTTTAGCATAATCTGTGTAATGTGACTAGGAATCTAATTTTTGCCCGACAGAAGGAAAACGATACTACTGGTCATCTGCTTTTCAACATAATGTGGAAGCTTCAGATTTACAGTATCAACCATAAGAAAGACAATTTAGAGTGAGATATTTTTTTTTCTAGTAACTAGGATGTGAAATCAACTCTTTGAAAGAGGAGAATTTTAATGTGGACTGAAAGAGTTTACCTAACATGTTATCCTCTCAGTAATCATGCTAAACTCCTGGATCATTTGAGTCAGTTAAGCATTTCATGATTTTTCAAAACCATTGAGTTACTTCCACTGCTAGACGACGGAAGGGATAAAGAAGAATGGTCTGTGTTTTGCGTACTTCAGTTTATTCCTATCAGCCATCTTGAGGGAGTCAAAGGCTCAAAGCAACACCTCAGCTTTTGAGTAATTGATAGTCTATGCTTTTGATAGCCAGAAAATTTGAGTGAGTAGACACAGACATATGTAATTTGAGATGGAAAATTGAAGCAAAAGAGCTGTCAATTTCTCCAGGATTTCCTTCTGGAGTTGCAACTGATGCCCCCTCTATTGGCATTATTTGGGGGTGGGGGTGAGGTTGCGCTAGAGCAACGACAAAGTTGTTTCCATGTGACCACGAGTTCGAGCTATGAAATCAGCCTCAATTGCATACATCAGGGTAAGCAGCCTCACATCCCTTTTGGGGGTAGTCCTTTTACTGAATCATGCGTGGACGGTGATGGTTTGTGGACTGAGCTATCCTTTTAGTTGTTTCACATCTATGATGACTGTAATTTTCCATGCTCTTTTTCCAGATACTCAAATTCGCTTTCGACTACACATTTAATTGGTATTAGATGCTGGATGTGGTTTCAATCTTTGAATGGGCTTGTAAGATTGTTCAATTCATATTCGAGTCTTTCATGTTATAAACTGCTGGAGGTAGTAATTATTTCGTGAAATTAGTCGAGGTACATACAAGCTGGTTAGGATACCACTGTCATAGAAGAAAAATGTTTGAAAGTGTTTTTAAGCAAAAAAGAAAAAGAAGAGACTTATCGACTTCCAATGCTTGTGGTCATGACACAACGAATTTGACCTATGCTAAGACGGAAATATGGATGTTATGAATTTTATGTGATCGTACAAGATTAGACAAGTTTTTGACGTATAAAAGAATGTGAGAAATGATGTGACAAAGGGCGTTGATATATGATAAAATAAAAGGAAAATTGTGCATTATAGCCTTGAATCTCGCTCGCCACTCTCTTGAATCTTGCTTGTCACTCTTTGACTCACCTCTCTCACTTTATATAAACACAAATGTATAAATTGTGTTTGTGTTTGTATAAAGTGAGAGAGAACTGCATACAAATAGATATCTCTGTCCTATACACTTGTAATTATACAAATACAAATCTTTTCCTGCCTAGTTCTCTTTTATCTTTCTCGCTTTATACAAACACAAATGTTTTAATTCGATTCAATTGTATACAAATTCAAATTTATGCAAATATACAAACACAATCATTGATACATAATTACATATACATAATAGTTACATATATACAATTATCTAATCGATATACATATACAACCGTTGCGATTTTATACAAATCAGATGCTTGCGATTCATATGAATCATATGCTCCATAGCAAACTATGTTTAGAAGCTATAGAACACTATGGAGCTTAAATAACAAAATTGTAACTATAGAGCGATAATATGATTTTTATATTTGTTATTCCTATAATTTACTCAAAATAAAAGGAGGTCGTTTAAGATACCTAAGTAGATACTAGTACGAAGAAAGAATGCTTCACCCCTTTTTCATTTCATTGATCATTTAAGCCAAAATATAGTTTGGTCTAAACTCTTAGTAATTTTAGAATTAGAAAATAAACAAGAAACTTGTAAAATTGTCCAACATATATGAATGAAACTAACATCCAAATAAAAAGGTTTTACTATCAAAAACCGAAATTTATTCCTTAATCAAAAGTTTCAAGTTTGAATTTTAAAATTGAAATCCCTTTTTTAACACCAGGAAGTGATTTTTTACTCCACTGAGTTTCTAAACAAGTACCGGACAGTCCATTGAACAGAAAGCAAGAAAAAAAAAAGGAACAAAGCTTCTAGTACTCCCTAATTACTTGTCTACTTTTTTTTTAGTTGTCCCTAATTACTTGTCCACTTGTCCATTTTGACAAATCAAAAAAGGACAAACATTTTTTCTCTATTATATCCTCAATTTATTACTTTGAAAAATGTAGAATTTTTTTAAAATCTTAAGTTTTTAATTCATCCACTTCATAATTAATAGGAATAAAATGGTAAACTCTCTATATCAATTATTATTTTCTTAATAGGTGTGTCACTTCTAAAGTAGACAAGTAATTAGGGACATAAGGAGTACTTACTACTTCCTCTCTAAAGCGACATAATTCATTTCATGCTCATTAAGAAAATTAATAAAAGCAGGAGGAAGAAGTTCTTAAATATAAAGATATAATTGAAAACAATTACTCCCTCCGTCTTATATTACTAGGCTCACGTTGACCTGAAACACTCTTTAAGAGAGTATTTAGTAAGAATTTATTTGACTAAGTTAACCTTTTTCAAATGAGTACCGCTAATTGGCAAGACAGAATTTTGGCACGAATTGCCAAGACACGGGTAAATGACGAAAATGTCCCTTTCGCTCCAAAACCGCTTGTATTTCCCTCCAAAAAAGAAAACCATCTTTGACATTTTAATAATTATTTACTCTCTCTCTTACTTTACTCTTTTTATCTCCTTCAACTTCACTCTTCACTCTCATCCGTTCTTATTTTAATTTGTTGATCAAGAATTTATTTTGTTGTTGGATTTATAACACAAGTATAAATAGTTCTTTAAATAACATGATTCCACAATACTTTTGTAGCTTAATTTCACTCTTCATTGGAATATTTCAATGTTCAACCATTTGTATTTACGGTATAAACTACCACTAAGTCAAATGGTCAAATTTGCACATTCTTGCCAACTACAATATATAGAAGTAGGGGTGTACAAAATCGAACCGAACCGCAAATCGAGTCAAACTGAAAAAAAAATCCGACTAGTGATTGGTTTGACTTGATTTGGTGTTGAAAAAAAAAAAACCCCGACTATATTTGGGTTGGTTTGGTTTTAACTAAAAAAAAAATAATCCGAGACCAAACCAACCCGACATTATATATATAATTTTAAAATTTTATTTTATAACTAAAAATATTTACTTTGATATAATTTTTAAATATTTCTTATACTTTTTTTATAGTTTTTATCTTTTTAATATATTATTTCAAGTTTGAAACTTATAATTTTGAATAGTTTCATAAAGATTATATAGTCCATAAATGTTGGTAATTATAATAAAACTTAGATCAAAATCAAATTAATACTAATGCAAAAAGAAAATCAATTTAACACTAAGAATGACAATAATATTGAATATTTGTTATTTGGTTTTACATTGGTTTAGACAATTAAAGTACATAATCTAATTTTAATTTTCTTTAATATTTAGTCATGTAACTAATACTTATTGAACTTATTTTAGCATGATTTAGTACTTTTAAATTATGATCATTTTCATTATGACTTATTAATTTGTCAATATTTGTTTTACGTCAATTTCATTATTATTATTATTTTTGGTGTATTTTAGTTGTCATTAATCATATCATTGTTTGTGTTGTATTCTTAAGAAACACCTTAGATAGTTGTATTTTGGTAGGACTGGAGTAAATATTTGAAGTACAAGTAAATTATATGTTTGTATGAATATTTTAGTGGAAAAACCCAAAAAAATTCAAAAAAACCCGAGGTTGAAAAACCCGAGTTTTATTGGTTTAGTTTGGTTTATAGATTTAAAAATTCGACACAAATGGTTTGGTTTGATATTTGAAAAAACCCGAACCAATCCGACCATGTACACCCCTATATAGAAGATTGATATATTTAAATATAGGGTTCTTGTGAATGAAGAAAAAAATTGACAAAAAACAAATATATTTGAACAAAGGTAGTTTAATCAACTCGGATTTGTCGTTGATTTATTATTCCAAATTAAAATTATGAACGAAAAGGAAACAAAAAAACGCTATTTAAAATGACAACGTATGGAGACCCAAACTTGGTAGAAATAGAAGTAAACTTTACCGAAAAAAAATGAAAAAGCTCAATTAAGTATGAAATTAAATTTAAAAAAATTGGGCAGTGTGAAATAAATAATAATTACAACTTGGACTTTTCAGAAGTGGTTTAAGTTTTAAACAGTTGTGGTTTTAAAAGTATTAAAAATGGTTTTACCTTTGAGGGTAATTTAGGTAGACGAAATAAATGAATTTATCCAAACGCCCTTAACTTTTCACCGAAATTACGAAAATACCTGATTTTTGTTGCTAGTGTCATTTCGTGCCAAAAATCTGTCTTGCCAATTATATTTTCCGTTTTCAAATTTCACATTTGAACTACCACCAATTATTTATCAAATCACACATCAACTATAAATTGTTCTATTTTCCAAACTGAACATAGTGATATTTTAGATAGAAAAAGGGGACAATCGATAGTTAATATGCATTTTGATAAACTACCATAATAGTTCAGATAAAAAACTCACATACCTAATTATTCAAACATGAAACTTGAAAAATTGAAATAATATTTTGGAACAATTATTTTTGTTTTTGCTAAAACGATATTTATTTTGAGAGAGAATAAAGAAAGTTAGATAACCACAAAATCGGAGCAAGACAAGTGTGCTTATGATTTATCAAAACTCAGTGCTAACTGACAAAACCAACGGTAACTTTCATTTCAAACCGTTGTGTCCCCAAAAATACTCCATTTTTTCTCCTGTTTTTTTCTTTTATCACAATTCCCCATCAATCATCATCATATTCATTATTTTTTTTCCATTTGAAGAACCCAACCATAAAGAAAAAAAATGAAGTGTTTTACATGTTGTTTTCGTACTAATTCCAATTACAAGAAAATCATCACAAAAAAGCCATGTAGTAATAGTAGCAACAAGATCAATAGTATCTCTCCTCAAGCTCTCCAGGTATGTCGTAATAATCACTATTTATTATGGTTAAAAGGTCGTCCTTTGATTCAGTTGACCGAGAGAAATGTATTAAGCACAGTCATTTATGATGACATGGTCGTACTTATTCAAATAGATTTTTCTAGTAAATGACTAAAAATCCGATAAGGAAATTCAGTTGACTGAGGGAAAGGTGTTAGACACACACTCGCGTGCTCACATCGACTTTAACTAAAACGACCCCTTTAGTTAGTTGTGTTTGAATTTGGAGTTTGATTAACTTCTTGTGTTATTTCTAAAGGATTTGCTCGAGACTCGCGAAAATGGTGAAGATTTTGTAGCCATTAATGGTACAAAAGAAGAAGTTGATCACCAGGACGAGATTGTGAAATCCATTAACCTCATCGAAGAATCAAAGTACGATTTTTTATTTATTTTTTCAAAAATAAGAAAATGCAATTTTGTGTTTTTTTCGTTTATCTCAGATCTGTTAAAAAACAGGGGTATAATTAGCAGAGAGAATTTACTCGAGTTCGATGAGAATGGCGAAGCTTATGTAGACGCCATTAATGCTAAAAAGGAAGAAGCTCGACACAAGATTGTAAACTCCATTAACCTGTTTGAAGAATCCAAGTAAGTTTTTTTTTTTAAAAAAAAAAATTATTCAATTTTTTCTGTTGTTTTCGTTCACTGAAATTCTTCGAAAAACAGAGACGAGGAGGAAGAAGAAGAGTTGAATAAAAGCAATATAAAGAATTTGCTCGAGAGACGCAAAAATGATGAGGGCTTATTATCAAAACAAGTTTCTGCAAATTGCTCAGAGTATCTGAGCAATTTGCAGAAACATAACGGAGAAGAAGAAGAAGAAGTGGACACGGTTTCAAATTCAAGTGTGTCAAGCTATATATCTTATCCTCAAAATCATCGATATCATTGCTGCAGAAACAGCAATGATGAATTCGAAGATATTGATCTCGAAGATGAAGCTAACAATAATGATGATGGAAATGAAATGATTCTTCAAGAGTCGTCTTACGAGTCATTATTTTCACTCTCCATAGACGACTCCACTCGGAATGGAAATAATCCCTTCCCCGAAATCATGTATGACAAGGAGGAGGTCAACAGTCCATTGAAACCTATGTTGCTCAGACGTTTCAAAAATGCTGACAGACTTGTAACGGATCCTCAAGAAGTAGTGCATTTTCAACACGGGTGTGACAACAATTTTGAAGAGTCAGAGCAACATAGATTACTAGTGTTGAATCCAATTCGAAATCCATGTCTATTGAAAGACACCGGCATTACAACGCCTCCATCACTATTGAATCAACAAGAGGAGAAGGAGAACATTGATATGAATCTTCTTGATTTTAGTACCACGTATAATCGTGCAAAAGACGAGCCTAGTTTGAAGCGCCAAGAGAATGAAATCGCGGTTGATGCTAGTCTTTCGAGCTGGTTAGTTGAATGTTCTCAAGACGACACGCCAAATTCTAAAAACAGTGTTGGTTCTGTCGGAAATTCACATTCAGAGAAACGCGTAGGGCTTATCGATAGACCAATTTTAGGAGCATTGACAGTAGAAGAGCTCAAAGATGAAAAGCCCATTGTAATAGGGACTATTGGGAGCTATTTGAGACATACAGGGCAAGCTAATAGCATTTCATCTTACTGAGGCATTTCGTCGAGCAGGTAGCACGCTCCCGGGAGGAGGTATACGTGCTTTATTTTTTCATGTGTTATGTTAAGTTTGTATTGCTATTCCATATTCAACGATTCAATTGTTTAATAGATAGTCAAATTTGTAAAGCATATTTTCTACATGAAAGTGGAATTTACCAATGACTTAGGGACCAATGAATATCATCCCTTAGCGACCGGGCAACTTGTGTTTTGAGGCCTGATTAATTTGAATTTACATAAAAAGTTTCACTTTTAAGTATAATGTAAGACAAATATCATGAGTTTGTCTTGTAATAAAATTAGTTGTTGCTAATACTTGTTTCTCGATTATCTCTTTCATAATCAGAGCTCAGAGAAGGAACAGATAGAATTCGAACACAATAATCGGTTTGATTATCTTCATACAAAAGGATATTAGATTACATAATAGAAAAGATTAAAAAATCATCACTAACGTTAGGAACGTAATCATATTTGATAGAAAGTGTTTTACCTTCAAAGTAAAGTTTTTTGATATATTTAATTACTCAAAAGTAGATACTAGACATCGAATGAAAGAGTAGACAAACAAAAAAAATTGCTTAGCTGACTGCACTCTTAGGATAATGAAACATCACATAGAAATATACAGCTAAATTTAAAGAGCAACTTTCACATATAACAAACACAAAATTCATATTAAAGAGAGAAAGGCAAAAGAGAACTGGGCAGGGGAATATTTGTATTGTATAATTATAAGTGTATAGGATGAAGATATATGTATTTGCATGTGTATATACAATTTTCTCTCGCTTTATACAAACAGAAGCAGTTGTATACAAAAGATCAATTGTATAATTTGTGTTTGTATAAAACGAGAAAGAGGGAAAGGCAAAAAGAGAACTGGGCAGAGGAATATTTGTAGTGTATAATTATAAGTGTATAGGACGAAGATATATGTATTTGCATGTGTATATACAATTTTCTCTCGCTTTATACAAACAGAAGCAGTTGTATACAAAAGATCAATTGTATAATTTGTGTTTGTATAAAACGAGAAAGAGGGAAAGGCAAAAAGAGAACTGGGCAGAGGAATATTTGTAGTGTATAATTATAAGTGTATAGGACGAAGATATATGTATTTGCATGTGTATATACAATTTTCTCTCGCTTTATACAAACAGAAGTGCAATTTATACATTTCGTTTCTATTTGTATAAAGTGAGAGAGGCGAGGGAGCGAGCAAGATCTGAGAGAGTGGCGAGCGAGATCTGGGAGAGGGGAACGAAAATATATGTATATATACAATTTTCTCTCGCTTTATACAAACACAAACGCATTTTATACATTCGTTTTTGTATAAAGTGAGAGAGGCGAGCGAGTCTGCCACCAAACGAGAGTGGCGAGCGAGATTCCACCAGGGAGAGTGACGAAAATAGCAATAGTTTGCTATAGGGTACAATTAAATCAAAGTATATTTATAGCATTTAATTTGAATTAATAATTTGCTATTATATACAGTTTTTCCCAAATTTAAATAATAGATAATTAAATTAGGTATACAAAGACTTTTTGGACTTGGAAATAGTCTTTACTCAGACTTTAATTTGATACGTTGTCTATCAAAATAATAGCTAGCAAATATATATTTATGATATATATAGTTAGCAAATATAATTATATTTAGCTGACCGATCAAATGTGTAACTTGCCCATAAAAATTTCTAAGGTTGACAATTATTATATAAAAAAATATTAATTTCCTTAAAGGTCAAAATAGAAGTTGATTAAATATTTATGTATCACCTACCTTTATTTTTTGTACGGACAGAAAGTACTCTTTAATTATGTTTCAATTTATATGATGTTATTTCATTTGATATAGAATTTTAATAAAAAAAAATTACTTTTGAAACTCATATTCTAAACAAGTCACATATATTTGTGTTGCTATAAATCATATCATTAAGGTAACATGAACATTTTAAAGTTAAATTGTCACTAAATATAAAAAAAAAAAAAAATTAAAAAAAGACTAAAAGGAAAGCGTATTAGATATTTTGAGACAAAGAGAGTAATAGGTAACAAAAAAGTTTCGTAATTTCTTTCTAATTTTTACTATTTTTTCTTGAGAATTTTAAAACTAAATTGTTTTTAAATATAGAAATGACATTCTTTTTCGGAAAAAAACAAAACAAAAAAAGAATTGATGTCATATAAATTGAAATAAATAAAATACTTTCTCTGTCTCAATTTTTGTGTCACAATTCGATTTTCTAGAGTTAAATGTCTTGATTTTGTTCCTAAATTTTGGATATTAAAAATTTTAAGTTTTTAAATGATTACTAATTAATTGGAACAAAAATAAAAAATAAAATAAAAATAAAAATAAATAAAAATATATATATATATATTAAAACCACACCAACTCTTGAATTCTGAATATATTATGTAAATTGGGACAAAGAATATATATATTATTTTGAAGTGCAACAAAATTAGTCTCCCAACACCACCATTACGGAAAAACCAAAAAATTACAACTTGTACTATAAAATAATGTGTATTTTTGTGTCTCATGTCCATGTTCTTTGTAAGCTAACCTCTCAAGTCTCAACCTTACCTTTTTAGACAATTTTAATTGGTAGTTGTCCACCTCTACTATTTCATCTTTTTTTTTTTTTTTTCTCTCTTTCTATTCCTCTCTAATTTTCCGTCCTTAATTTTTTTTATTTTATATTATTACCCAAACTAAACAATTCCCACAATCAAACAACAAATAGAGAGAGAAAAGAAGAAGAGAAAACAAATTAAAGGTCCTTTTGGGCATATTTGCCCTCATATATATAATTTCTTGATTTCCTCATTTGTTTGTTCTTTCATATATGCATGTTTTTTTGCATGCATAAATATATACACACAAAAAAATAGTTGAAGGAAGACATTAATGGGGAATATTACAATTAGAAGGAGATAGAAAAAGTTTATTAACCTTTTTCATATATCTCCTTTTTTTTTTCTGCATGGCTTGTGCATTTATCTGAAAAGGTATTAATATAATTATTATGTTATTCAATTCCATTTCTTCTTTTCATTTTTATTTTATTTCTTTTGTCAATCAAGATTATTTTTTTTTTTTTTTTTTTTTTTTTTCTCTCTTTCTATTCCTCTCTAATTTTCCGTCCTTAATTTTTTTTATTTTATATTATTACCCAAACTAAACAATTCCCACAATCAAACAACAAATAGAGAGAGAAAAGAAGAAGAGAAAACAAATTAAAGGTCCTTTTGGGCATATTTGCCCTCATATATATAATTTCTTGATTTCCTCATTTGTTTGTTCTTTCATATATGCATGTTTTTTTGCATGCATAAATATATACACACAAAAAAATAGTTGAAGGAAGACATTAATGGGGAATATTACAATTAGAAGGAGATAGAAAAAGTTTATTAACCTTTTTCATATATCTCCTTTTTTTTTTCTGCATGGCTTGTGCATTTATCTGAAAAGGTATTAATATAATTATTATGTTATTCAATTCCATTTCTTCTTTTCATTTTTATTTTATTTCTTTTGTCAATCAAGATTTTTCTGATTTGTTTGAAATTAAGGTGTTGTTAATGTTGTCAATCAAGAATTCTCTTCTCCCAATGCATTTGAGAAAAAAAATGCAAAAATGTGATCCTTGAAATTCAAACGTATGACCTAAAGCAATTTTTGAACTACTTTTTTTGTTACGTTAGGAGATTCCTTGTGACAAAAAGACTCAACAATTTCCATATACAAAAGATTTTATTTTACCCATTTTTAAAGTGTAATTTCTGATAAAAGGGATTCAATTGAATCATATAGCTCTACCCCTACCCAAATCAAGGGCAGAGTAAGGGGGCATTACAAGGCTTCACTCTATATATAAGGTCAAAATTATTCTTTACGTATATAATGAATTTTATTGACTATTTTGTGTGTTTACTTGTTTACATTCTGAACGTTCAATTTTATTCTACACATGAGAAATTGAAAAGGGTATAAATTTTCTAATTTTGTATTATTTTTTTTGGTTTTGGCAAAGGAATTAGTATTTCCCATTGGTGTGGTCCTACTAACATTTCTGAGCAAAGTATTATTGGCTTTTTGGGCTTTTACATTATATACAATGGCAACCAAAGTGAAGGGGATTTACAAATATATCTCAAATATTTTTGGTAACCTCTTTTTCCCTTTTTTTTTGGAATTGTATGTTTTCTTGATATTTGGTCTGAGGGTAAAAGTGTAATTTTTTTATTTTTTTTTGTAAATTTACAGTTGTTAAGGATAGGGAGTTGGAGATTGGAGGTCCAACTGATGTTAAACATGTGGCACATATTGGTTGGGAAGGTCCCTCTGGAGGTGCACCTACTTGGGTATGTTGTCTTTCTAAAAAATTTATTCGCACTCGATGTTTGCATAAAACTGAGAAATGTAAGATATTATGTATTTTTACCTTAGTTTGTATCTCTTAAAGTTGTCTCGTGTGGTCATGGATCGAATTGTGGAATCAATCACTAATACTTTGGGTGCGAGTTGCGACCCTTCCCCCAATTCCTGCATGAACGCATAATGCTTTGTGTTTGAGTTAACCTCTTTTTATTTTTACTTAGTTTGCAACTCTTAAAGTTGTCTTTTTCTGTGTAACGAGCTATAGAATCAACAATTAATGCTTGCATCAGAATTGGTTGTCTACATTATGCTCCTTGGATGCAACCCTTCCTCAGATTCTGCATGAACATGCGATGCTTCGACCAATGAGCTAGCTTTTTTTTGTAACTTTTAAGTTTAGTTTGGTGTAAACATCCTATGCAACTGACTATTTTCCTTATTGAATCTTAGCAATTCATTATTTTATATGAAGGGCTTTCCATATGCCTAACATTTTTAATTTTTATTTTTAATTGAAGATGAAATCATTCAAGGCAGGACCTGAATTTTCAGTAACTTCTATTGGTAACTCTGGTTCTGCTATTACTCCATGGTCATCTCAAGGTTAGTCTTGTTTAAACATCCTTTTTCCTTTTGCACACCAAAATCTATATAGGTCTTTCATTTTTACTATATAACGGTGGTGTTCGAACCAGTTTTAGGCCACTTGACTACTTTACCGAGTACATGTTACCTCCCATCAATATATGTATTAAGTAACTCTGTCTATCAAAACTTAGACTGACGTGAAGAAATCATCTAGCGTATTTTGTATCTCTAGAAACTAAATGATTGCTTGAAACCCCTTTAATATTTAATTGAGTTGAATTTTCTTAGATGATCATTCAACTAATAGTTATTATCTCAAAAAAATTACTTTTTTTGTTGAAAAAATGAGAATCAAGAAAAATAATGAATTTCCGAGATAATAATTATAAATTGTAAAAATTGAGAAATCAACCCTTATTTTATCATATTATTTGTAACTTTAAATCATGTATAGTTTCCCTAATAAGAGAATTCAAAAATAGTAAGCTTATCCTATGTTTTGTTGTATGTCTTATAAAAACTAAAGAGATTTTTTTTCTTTTTTTTTTAAAGATTTGTTTTGCCTCATGAGAGGGGAAATTTGTGTGGCTCATCTATGGTGTCATGACCCAAGAAAGGGACACAACTTATCTGTGGTGTCATTGTCTAAAGTATGGCCTTCTATTGTAGTAATCACTCACATTTTGTGAAAAAATTTAGAACTTAGATTGAATATATATGCGGCCCCTCAAACTTGCTCGAGTTTGTACTTAGATACTTGTACTAAAATCGAATGCTTGTCACTCAATGCGATGTTAACACATTGTTTATATAGATGTTGAGTGTTTAATAGGTCATGCCCTTAGCTAAGGTGTCTAAATAATTATTTTTTTTTATTGAGTTTAAGGGGTTGTAGATATGTATTTGACCTTTGAACTTCATATGCACTTTGAAGCTAAGCTATGATATTGAGGGAAAAGACAAGAAAACTAGGACATTACACTAATTTATGGAAGATGAGCAAATTAACTACCCACTTTTGCTTCTTTAGAGGCGAATTCAGAATTAAGAGTCAGCGAATATTGAATTTGTTCTTTTGAAATCCAGGTTCTTCTACTTCATGTTTATGTTATGAACATTTTCCCTTTTTATCCCATTGAAAATTGATTTTACTATATAGACGCTTATGACCTCCTCTCTACCTACTTATGCATTCATACCACAAGACTCTACAACTCAATCTACATTAAACTCTTCGTGAAGACACACTTTACCACAATTCTTATGACACGTAGTTAAAAGTAACGAATTCAGTTGAACCACTTGCCTCTATACTACTTGTATTTTTATTTCAACGTATGCACGTCTTTTTGATAGGTTGTGGTGAGACGACGAGGCAACTAACAACAACTAACATGAAAACTTCAGATGTTACTAGTCCTCCTAAGAAACATAAACGGAGGAAGCCTAAATCGACTTCCTCTCCAAAATCTAGTTCACCATCCACGTTGAGATCATCGCGAGCAACTAAACACAAGGCTAAATCTGTTGAAAGCAATCACACACCAACAGCCCTAGAAGTGGTTTAATGTGTTGCAAACAAAAAAAAATAAATGTCAAGTTCAAAAATGCACCAAAAAAAAAAAACAATGACATTTTGCATATATCATAGTTGAAGAGAAAGGCAAGAAAGGGGTAGAAAGTAAGTAAATGTAGAGGAGGGGAACATAGAAATGTTGATTTAAGAAAGGTGAAATTTAATTGTACTCAAAAACTTGGTGTTTTGAGAGAAAAAAACTAGAATTTGTGTTCCTTTATACTATTCACTTTTTTTTTCTTTTGTTTTATATATTTTCTTATTTAGATGTAATGTAAGGAAGGATCATGTAAGGAGTTTGGATCATTTAGTTGTGCTAATGCTAATAGTTATTTAGTAGTACATCAGCCTGACAAATTTTGTTTAGACCTAATATAAAAACGGACACTTAAATTTGGTCTCAATTGGAAAAGTAAATAGGCTAACTTTGAGTATGCACATCTAGATACCTCAACTTGTATCCACAGTAACAACTGAACACCCCAATTTACAAAATGATCATCTAGAAACGTCCAAATTTTATGTATCACTTCAGCATTAGATGTCCACGAAACACAGTATGGGATCATGAGTTGATGTGGCTAGATGTGCACTCTCAGACAAGGACGGAGCTAGTAATGGTCTAGGGGTTACCCCTTTGTGAAAATTTACACTGTTTATATATGGTTTAGATTAATATTTATGTATATATAGTAGATGTTGAACCCCCTTTGACTTTTTTGTGTGTGTACTTCATATTTTGAACCCCGTAGTAAAATTCGAACTCTGCCACTGCTTTCAAAATTAGAATGTTTACTTGTCAATTGAGGCTAAATTTGTGTGTCTATCTATGTACTATGATTTATTGTTGTAGTTAGTAATATCTGCTTAACTCATTTCCAAACTAGCTACCAAACAATCCCCAAGTACAATACAAATAACTATATAGTAAATAATAAGGTCAAACTACATAAATCTCACTAGTTTAGATCCTAATTGCTAGGAATCCGATAGTTTTTTATATTACTTTCTATACCATTTTCGGCTATGGGATATATGTATACATCAGGTTTAAAAAGGTCGAGATACATGATTTAATACTTTTGAAATAAATGTTGTAACTCATTTCCTTAATTAAAGGAGTAACTTATGGAAAATTAACAAACAAAACATATTTGAATGATTCTTCCATATTAACTATTACCAGCTTTCCTAAAAAATCTAAATAATAATTTCTTTTGAGTATAATTACTCTTACAACTTTTGAGTATTTATTCCTTTGCGTATAATTAACCGTCAGCTACATGTATCCCACAACTTTTGAGTATAATTACTTTAACAACTTCTATTTTATTTTTTATTTTTTTTAAAATAATTTCTTCCATTTGTTTTCCAGCAACAACAAAGTGAACAATATTTTACAGAAATTTGAATTTGATTTTTTGAATTTTGTGATTTATTTTTTCAAATTTTCATGTTTAGAGAACAATGTGTATCCCCCCACTACGTATCTGATTTTTATGCATTTAATGTCATTAAATGTATTTCAATAGGTGTATCTGTTATATACGTATATTAATTTCTTCCATTTATTTTCCAGCAAAAACAAAGTGAACAACTTTTTCAGAAATTCGATTCTTTTTTTGAATTTTGTGGTTTTTTCTTTCTTTCAATTTTTCATGTTTAAAGAACAATGTGTATCTTGCACTATGTATTTAATTCGTGCATCTAATTTAATTAAGTGTATATGTTATATACTTGTTATATATCTGGAGCATGTATCTAATTATTCGATATTAATCTTTTAAATATATATAAATACGGATATATACATAGAAGAAAGGGAGATACATAGATTAAGGATAAAAACATAGACCATTTAGGTACGTCTAGCAAACACTGTATCTCTACAAATTCATCGTAAACTCACAAAGTTTAGAACTAAAATCCAACCCTTATATGGCTCTGATTCTTATCTTTCAACTTCATTTTCTCCATTCTAACAATCCAGCATTGAAAGCATTGGTTAAAGCATCGAAAGACAAAATTTCAAATCCCATCCTTTACAATTATCCTTCCTTTTCTAGAGCTTTTGCTGCGATATTCTCTTACCTTTATCACTCTCGTCTCAACATACCTTATCTCGTTTTGCCTTTCTTTTCCGTTGAACTCTTCAGATAACTTCTTTTTTAAAAATCTTCACAGTAGAAAAATGCGATAAAAATCATCATTTTAATTTCTAATGATTTAGTGAAGAAGATCTATGAGAGAGAAGAAAGAAAGAAAGAGAATGGGGAGATGAACTTGGGATGGGAGATTGAGGATGAAGGAAGAGAGAGTAGGTAGAGGTGATGGAGAACGTGGGGGTTGGCGGAG